TAACGCTGATCTAGGGGATCTAACGGATCGTGCCGTGGATCATTAGCTAATCGTCGGCTAATCGGAGCGCGTAGCCCGGCCACCTTCGCGGGCTTCGTCAACGTTCCAAAGAGTAATTATCATTATCCGCGGGGCTCGATTTAATCGACGGGAATTAGAGGTATCATTTTTAATGACGGCCGGGCTGGGAATTCGAACAGCTGCGGGAAAAATTGAAACGATATACGATCGCTGGATATATTTCCGCGGAACGAAGTTATTAGCGAGCGAGCGGGGGCCATGTAGAAATTGATTTCCATCGGACCGTTCGAGATTGAACCGGGGATTCGCTCGAGATTGATTAAACATCGGAACGAACTTAGACCGTATATACTATTAAACACGGCCTGTGTGTATACACTGCGTGTACAGAGAAGCCGCGAGTATTCGGCGACGCTAAGATGAATCGCGAAAGATGGCTCGCTGCGGCGTGGCGAGATGATCGTTCAAGATGACTGACACGGCTTCAAGTTCGAACATTAGATGCTATTGGATGCTATCTACAGTAATGTCTCCCTTACTGACGCTCGGATTGTCCACAAAAATGGACTCAATAAAAAGGACTTAATAAATGGAATAGTTCAAATAGCTTCGAGTGCAAAGGGTTAAGCGACAGTTGAACACGTTTGCAACCTGAAGCCGTGTCTATAGTTATACACGGTCCAAGAGAAACGAACGCTTCGAAATCGATTCGCTTCTTTCGCCCTCGCGTCGGCATTTTTTCGCGCGACGAGAACGACCGGTCGTTCCGATAATTCCACGGGCAGATAATCGCGACCGGTCGGACATTTCCGGGAAAACTTGAAGAAACAATTACGGGAAGCAATTCGCGGCGGACAGGCGCGCGCGTCGCCCTCGTTCGCGACCGCGACCCGCGATTTCATCCGATCGCACGCGGCGGCCGCGCTGTAACGCCGCGGGGAAACGGCGGCGTCGGTGGAAATACGGCCGCGTACGGGGTTCCCGGAGCCCCGATAACCGGGAACGAACGCGGTATAACTTACCGGGAAAAGCGGAACGGCCTGGTTAACGTAAACGGGACGCGATAAAACGGCGGACGGCCGTCGCGAAACGGACCGGAGATACCGACCGCGATGCTTTACACGTTGTTGAAGGCTCTCGGGATTACCGTTCTCCAAGAACACCGTCGCGCGGAAGCAACGTCGGATCGCGCAGGAAGAATATATCCGTGTGAAAAATATTCCGAATATTTCCCGACCCATTTTTTCCCGGCTACCCTGTGCAACCTCGTGCTACAATTCCGCGGCGAAGTTCCAGATAGGATTCGACACGGCGCGAGTTTCGTGCCGCGGATAAGGAACTTCTTATCGCAGGTGGAACGCGAGAAACGCGGGCCGACGGCGGAACTCACGCGGAACACCGCAGCGGAAATTTTACAATTCCAACTTTCGCGCTCGGCCGGCAATCGTTTTGCATACCGCGGACGGGCCACCGATTGCCGTTTAATTATCGCGGCCGCGGGGTGCGCGGCGAAGGGCGGAAGAGCGTTCTGGCAACGGCTGAGAATCGAACGTCGGGGGCGGCGGGGAGGTTCGTCGTCCGGCAAGGGCGGATTTAATTTCCGGTTCGCGACAGGACACGGCGCACCTAACGAACTTTCTTATCGGGGTCCTTCGTACTCGGTCACCGAGCCTGAACTTTCGAGGATTCACCGGCGCGGCGGCCGCGATTTGCTTGTTACGTTCGAAATATCTGGGCAAATTAAACGCGACGGCCGCGGCCCGGCTCGTTCGGCCAGCGTGGATAGAGTAGTTTTATGTCATCCAGATCGTCGCGGATTGTCGGATTTAATCACTACGTTTCTTGGCCCCGTTTATTCGACGTCCGGTGTTGAACGGTTCTCATCTTGGTCCGTTATCTTTTTTGCATTTTTATTGACCACATTTGAGAATGTCTTCTGTATTTTCATAGTTTTTGCTTTTTAATGGTTATCAGTTTTTCGCGGTGTTGAGGATTTTAGCAGGATTTTACTTATTTTATGAGATCTTGATAATCTTGAGTGTTAATCGGACCTGGTTGAAATTAGTTGAGAAGGTATTGGAAATTGTTGATGAAATATGTTAGTTCATTGTTAATAAATAGTAATGTTTCAAGATTCGTTTGACATCGTAGAGACGAGCACACGTATTGAAAACAGTTATTTTAGTTGCACTAAAGAAAAATTAGTAATTGAAATAGTATCTTCTTAAACTGTATAGGAAATAATTATTCGAAATAGTATTTCAGAGTGTCGAAATTTTTACTAATTACTTGAAATTCTATTTCTTACGATTAGTATTCACGAAATAATATAGATCTATAGTAAAAGTACAAACGCATACCATTTTGAAAAATAAGCTTTATCTCATATTTCTCTTAATTAATAAATGTAATTGGAACATTTAACATCCGTCTCTGCTTTCACCAATGTACATACATATATATTTTCTATACAACGTGCACATCGATTATGGTAATTTTAACTGCCCCGACGGAATACTTCACGATGCAAACCGATTTGACGGATCCCTAAACTTCTTCGCTTCCCCAATTTACTTGTAGAATCAATGTGACGCGACTGTTAGGCTCCTACGACGGCCTTGGCTGATACATTTTCGTCCTTATATTCGTCGTACCGAAAGAATTAAACCCGTTCACAAATGAGCGAATAAATAAATAAATAAATTTATACGCGAACGAATGAATAAATAAATAAATAAATAAATAAATAAATTTAGCATCTGCCATCGCGCGGAAATATCGCCGCGAGAAAATTCCGGACTCGCGGACTTCGCGAGGTGTCCGATCGATGCGCTCGAGCCCTCTTCGAATTCGCGCGACAATTCGCCGTGCAAGTATTTGCGCGCGGCCGAGAATTTCCCGGCTCGTTTGTCGGCCGCGTTTCCTTAGGCTCGTTAACGCGGCCGCGAAAGAGAGGCGAAGGAACGAGGGCCGGCCCATAAAAAGGACGTTTCAACGTTATCGCGTTAAATGGCGCGCGTTCAGAGCGCCACTGCTCTCTCATTACTATGCACCCTGCGCTTCGAGCAGTGGGTCCCCTTTCACCCGCCCGCCGTTCCAGGTGTGTCCGGCTCACCTGGCGGCGGTGCTACACGCCCGCGAATTTGCACTCCGCGCAATCAGCTCCGGGGAGCGCGAGATTCATGCGGACGTTTCTTTGACCGTTAAATGCATCCCCGCCGGCTTTTGAATCGCTACGCGTCCCGCCCTACAGCGTTCCCGACGCCGGAACGAATCCTCTTTGGAGAGCTCGCTTCTTTCGCGTGCTCGATACGAAACTTTTCCGCTCCGTGGATTCAATTGCTAACACTCTCGGGCGTCGAATTAGCGTCGGTGTAGCGACGCGTCTTCGTCGCGCGGACGATGCACGAGCGGAAAGCGAGAATGGGGCGGTGCTGGATTCGACAAGATACAGTAATGTCTCCCTTACTGACGCTCGGATTGTCCACTAATAATGGATAATTTGGTAAGCGGAGATATAATTATTCGAGCGAGTTTTTATAATTGTGGACAATTTATAACCATAGAAATAAACCGTAAGGCTCGAATAATCGTATCTCCTCTTCCCAAATTGTCCATTTTTCTGCGCAATCTGGGCGTCAATTAGAGTGACATTACTGTAGACCGTGCCAAGGGTGCACAGAGTCGGTTTCGAATCGTCCGCGGACACGGCGGAGCAGGCGGAGGAGAAGGGAAAGAAAGATCCTGGATAAGAGAAAGATAAACGATGATTAAAACGCACTGAAAATCGCGCCACCGCGGAATCCCGAGGAGCTTCCGCTGTTACGAATGATCCCTGCTTTTTCGATGTCTTGTGCCGGTGATCGGCCCTGCGATCAAGACGTAACTTATTCGAATAGCGCGCGGTTACTTCGGCGACGTTAACCCTGGAACGAACCGCTTCTATTTCTCGGCGTAAGTAAGCTCGGCGACGCTTCGCGGGGTCGCGATTTATCAGAAAATCTCAATATTTAAAATATTATATATATAATATAATGTCATATAATGTTACGTATATATGTTACATTATGTTATAATATAATGTAATAAATACAGCAGAGATACTTCCTTATCCGAACATTCATTTTTACAATATTTTCGTGTCCAAGCATGCCGTTATCTAATCATTGTATTAATTAGATACAGCATCGCCATGAACGATATTTTTAGATAACAGAATACAATAATGTCTCCCTTACCGACGCTCAGATTGTCCACAAAAATGGACAATTTGGGAAAAGAAGATACGATTAGCCGAGAGACTTGCGGTTCGTTTTTATAATTGTTAACTATTTATAACTATAAAAACAAAGCGAAAGGCTCGAATAATCGTATCTCCTCTTCCCAAACTGTCCACTTTTGTGGACAATCTGAACGTCAGTAAGGGAGACATTACTGTATTTCGGTGTCGGAGGATATTACAAAAATGAACCTTCGTATAAAAGAGACTCTGTATCACGTAGAAAAAGAGCCAAAATCTAGAAACAAATTCTCGAAGAAATATTTCTTTCTCTTCGCAAAATACGACGCGATTTCCGAAGAATAATCTCGATGTTTTAGTACTCGCCGCGTTCGCAGACGAACGAGGAGCGTCGCGGGTTCGTCGGCGAGCCCGTGGTGTCGTTCCAGGGTTAACATTAATCCTGTCGATAGGTACGATGAAAACGTGAACGAGGAAGTACGCGAGGCGTGGGATCGAGGAAGGGCTCGGTGGCAAACGGATCGCAGGATCCGCGAAGCTCGGTCACGGCCGGATCGGCAACCGAGTGCCGGATCCGGCTTGTGTGCCGGCGGTCGCTTAAAATAATAAACGGGGAAAGGTGTTGGAGCAAATGGTCTGCGCTACGGGCGAGGGGATCAAGAGAGACGTTGATCCCGGCGTTGACAAACGGGAGCGGGAAGCTGGGTTCTGTTTGCCGGGCGGGATCGTGTCGAGTTACCTTGCTCCTGTTTCGCGGCGCGAAGTCTTCTTTGCTGGCCTTCCGTCGCTTATCCTTAAGGATCATTCTCGCCGCGGCGAACGCCATTCTGCCGGCGCGTTTTCCCTCTCCTCTTTGTCCGACACAGGCCGGTTCTCTCGCTCCGAGAGAACGATGGTAGAGAAGAAGAAGAAGAAGAAGAAGATGATGAAGAAGGAGAAGAAGAAGAAGGAGTCGGGTGGCGGCACGCACGAAGAGAATAAAACCACAGCCGTGAAGCACCGGGCGTGTCCCGCGGGATACTTACGAGGATCGAAGTCCAACGGGGGACCGGTAATTAATTATTGCTTCTCGATCACACACGGTTTATCACGTCGGCCCTCGCGCGAACGAAGCGGACGCGGACGCGGACGCGTTCGTTCGGTGGACGCGGATCGCGGTTGCCGATCACACTTCGGATTCTATGTAACTAGGCGTCGTAGTACCCGGCTGGGCTGACCAGTCGTTGACTTTTCTACTGCGCGAGTAGTCGGCGGCCTCGGCTCGCGGGAGACGAGGATCGTTGAACACTATCGATTGCGATTTTGAGGATTTACACAGCCAGAGGTTACCGCGGATTGACTAGAAATATCTCCACACACGCGCACTCTTTCTCTCCCTCCTCCTCCTCCTCGTCGCGAGATCTTATCGCGAAATTGACGATCGACGACTCGCGTCGCCTTTGCTGGCCCGATTTCCGGACGGTTCTCGCGAGCAGCTCGACGTCGGGCCCTCGCGGAAGCTCGACGAGGACATTTGCCTGTCCTTCGTTCGGTGGTTTCCGGCGGGTTCTTTCGCCACCGCTATCTCTCCCTTTCTCTCTCTCTCTTTCTCTCTCTCTCTCTCTCTCGCTCTTTTCTCTCTCGTACTAAACCGTCGATCGTTCTCTCTTTCTCTCGGCTTCGGTCGTCGCGCACTTGTACACACTGTGTGCTCCTTTAAACGACTACATTCCAGGCGACACGAGCCGCGGCTGATGCGTCCTCATGGCTCGATCGATCGGCGGTTAGCGGTCGCAATTATGGCCATGGATCTAGAAAGAAACAGCCTCGTTGACTGACCCGCGACCCGCTCACTGACCGACATCCCCCGCGATCGATCCTTCGCGGGCAACCCTGCCTCCGAATCGCGCTGCCTGCCTGCCTGTCTGCCTGCCGTAAACGGTCTACCTACCATCGATCATCCATTGAGGTCTCTTTACGTCCTATAGAAATGCTTCCTACGGGTAAATAGCTTCGACAAGCACCGCCAGACATCGAGGAAGCCTCCTCGGATCCTGGCGAACACGACCGAAACTAATCCCCTTGGGGAAACATTCCTTTCGGATGAGCTTCGCGCACGGAAGATCCCGGCGCATCCCGGAAGATCGGCATGTATACTGATTTCTGGATCGCGGATTTTTACGCGAGATGAATGTTCTTATCGTTGATTGCGAGATACGGCGGCTGCGTGGCCGTTTGTCTCGTTGCTTAATCAGTTTAACGAGGTGAAAGTAGTTCGGAAGTAGTTTTGGAATTCTTCGAATATTCTTCGAATGTAATTCTTCAAATAAATATGTTATAATTCTTCAAATATTCTACAAATGTAATTCTTCAAATAATTATATTATAATTCTTCAAATATTATATATATATATATATATATATATATATATATATATATATATATATATATATATATATANTTAAAATATATATATATATATATATATATATATATATATATATATATATATATATATATATATATATATCAGAATATATATATTCTTTAAATATATTATAATTCTCCAAACATATCAGCATATATATTCTTCAAATATATAGGATGTCCCAAAATTATGGTACTTCCGGGAAATGTGGAGTTCCTGAGATGATTTGAAGTAACTTTTTCCTTTACAAAAATGTTCTTCGAGGCATCGTTAACGAATTATTAACGAAAGACGATGGTCAATGAACGAAGGAAGCCCGCTTTCCCTCACTGGCTCGGTCGCCTCGCGAAATTTTGCTATGGACCTAGGTGTACCCGTTACTAAGACTAGTGGGATGGATTTCCGGACAGATCCCAAAAATCCCGAAAATCAATTCCACTAGTCTCAGTAACTGGTCCAAAATTTTGCTATCGACCTAGGGGGACCAGTTACTGAGACTAGTAGGATTGATTTCCGGACAGATCCAAAAATGTCGAAAATGAATTCTACTAGTCTCAGTAACTGGTCCAAAATTTTGCTATCGACCTAGGGGGACCAGTTACTGAGACTAGTAGGATTGATTTCCGGACAGATCCAAAAATGTCGAAAATGAATTCTACTAGTCTCAGTAACTGGTCCACCTTGGTCCCTAGCAAAATTTTGGACCAGTTACTGAGACTAGTAGAATTCATTTTCGAGATTTTTGGTATCTGTCCGGAAATGAATCCCACTAGTCCCAGTAACTGGTCCAAAATTTTGCTATCGACCGAGGTGGACCAGTTACTGAGACTAGTGGGATTCGTTTGCTATTCCGCCTGCGAACGGCGCACGAATTTCCATAGCCGTGGAACTCGTCGCGGCGTTTTAATCGCTCGATTCAGCGTGATTTAATTTTAATTAACGCCCCTCGGCCGGCGCCNCGGCGTTTTAATCGCTCGATTCAGCGTGATTTAATTTTAATTAACGCCCCTCGGCCGGCGCCGATTGTTCGTTCGTTACCGCGGAAACTTCGCCGCCAGGATTTGTTGCCAGTGCGGTCGCACGCGCGTAACGCGCCCGATGAAACGGCTGAAACTCGTCGTTTCGCACGTCGAGGTGTGTGTGTGTGGCTGTTTTTTCCTTTTCTTTTTTTTCGAGAGAGAGTTGAAGCACAGTTCGCTGTTCCGCTCTTTCTCGGCGGGCCCGGGGAACGCGGGAGAAAACCGGAGAACCCGAGAGGGTTGTTTCAAAGCTCGAGTCGACGAGTCCTGTTCGACGGTGACGAGCTCTCGGAAGCAGAATGGGCGCGCGCGTTTGCGTCTGGCATCGGTCGCGAAACTTTCCTAATTAAATTCGCTCGCCCAACGCCTCGATAGGCCTGCGCCGGCGAAAAAATCAGTCGTTTTCACACCGCCCTGCCGGAGAAGGGGGCGCCGAAGAATTCGAGTGTTGTGCCGGTAGCGCGTGTCGGATCCCGCGCAACAACAACGCGAACGCGGCCGGTTCCGTCGGAATAATTCCGCTCGTCGACGGAGAATTCCATGGAATCTCCGTCCTCGCAGGGGACGGGAAACGTCGCGGAAAAATTGCGCAGGTGGAAACACGTACGCTGTGCGAGACGAGACGCAGTCGTCGTTTCCGGCTCGTTTGCCGACGGACACCGCCGCGCGTCTTCGCCGTCGGGGTCTCGCGAGGCGCGGAAAGCAACGCCGGTAAATGGGGACACGCAATTAGACGGCCGCGGAAATTCAACGGGACGAAAATTTCGCGGGATGTGCTCGGACAGGACGCGTGACGGAAACGGGGCAAGTTTAAATCGATGCAGCGGACCGTGTTGCTCGCGCCTAAAGCGGGGGTCCGGTGCACGCTCGTCCGTCCTGGACACTGTGGGAACCTAGTTTGCGAAATAGTGGTCCTCGCTGCCCGATCGTTCGCGCTAACCTCGTAAACGCCCGGTTTCTGGACCGCTGATGCGACCGGAATCGAATCTAGAACGTCGACTGCTAATGTAATCAACTGTATCTATTAGGTGTACAGGTTGTATTACGATGCTTGGAAAAGCTATTTGCAGTCGGAATATCGCAGCGACCGTTCCGAGCTCTTATACCGCTCTACTCTAAGCTTTCGGAAGCACTGCGAAACTGTCCGAATCGGCAAACATAACCTAGACCCAGTTGAACGCTTGTTTAAACAATGGAGCGTCGTGCGCGTGTCGTTGTGTGCTATTCGCGTTCCAGTATTGGCGCAGCGGGTTCCAAGCAGAAGATTTTGATCTACGCGATGAAGATTCGCGTACAGTTGCGAGCATAATTGTGTACTCAATGTGACTTTTACATTGTTACAGATGTCTGAACAGACAGCAAAAGAAACTGTATTTGTGTGTTTCTGTTTTCTATTATTTTTAATTTAGAAATATATAAACGTAATAGTTTTTTTAGTTTAAATGTCACTAGGAATGTAAAAGTTACTTTCAGTCTATAATTATTCGTAATATTGTGGAGCAAATTCTCCCTAATTGACGCTTAGATTGTACATAAAAATGGACAATTCGGGGAGAGAAGAGGCGATTATTTTAGCCTTGCGGCTCATTTTTATAGTTACCGATTGTCAACAACTATAAAAACAGGCCGCAAGGCTCGAATAATCGTATCTTCTATTTCCCAAATTGCTCATTCTTGTTTCGAAGCTGAGCGACAATTAGGGAGAATTTAGGGAGGATTTTTAGGGAGAATTTATATGTATTATTTGTATATCGGAAAATCACTTCAATCGAACGAAGATGAACAAAAATCTATCGACGAATTCATCGCGGTGAAACAGCCTAATTTCTTCAAGTCGTGCAACCCTTCAGCTGCCCGAAGAAACGGACGAAATCGCAAAACGAGAGAGATTGTTTCATCGATTGATCTTTCGATACAACAATTTAATCGAACTTCGAAATTTGCAGAAAAAGAAGAAGACTAAACCCAAGACCCTGACCTATAACGCAAGATAGCGAACGCATCGTCACGCAGAATCGTATCTAAAACGTGGTCTACTAATGCAGTCGATTGTATTAACAAGATTGCGGACATAGCCGCGTAGAACACGCCCCGTTGATGATCGAAAACTGTTACCGCCGCGCCGTTACAGGTTGCATTCCGAGGCGTGGCCGCGCACGGTCGTCTGGATCTACTTAATCGATTCCGCCTAGGAACCAGCCGCGTCGGCCGAATTTCCTGCGGCAGGCCACGGATTCCAGCGAGAGGTTTTCTTTCTTTTTTTTTCGCGAAGGGAAACGCGTGCAGGAAATCGCGATTCTCGTTGGTCACGCGGCTACGTTTCTTTTTTTTCAGAGCTCCTCTCTCTCTCTCTCTCTCTCTCTCTCTCTCTCCCTCGTGCGGAGGTTAAATAAATTGCGGCCGGTTATCGATCCGGTCGCTCGTAATCTGAAATCAGACACGCTCGAACGTGTGTTACCATGAATCGTGTCCGATTTCTATCGCCGATGACACACACCCGCATCGAATCGCGTGCGATTCCTTCGAGAAGAGTCCTATCCGCCCCGCGAATCCTGTACTCCCAACCTTGACGATACGGAGTCCTTCGCGTTTGTACGACCTTGGAGGTACAGATGTACCTCATTGTATTCCCAGAGCTTTGGGAGTACAGAATTCATCGTATTCCCAGAGCTTTGTGAGTACAGAATTCACTGTATTCCCAGGGCTTTGGGAGCACAGAATTCATTGTATTACCACAGCTTTCAGAGTACAGAATTCATCGTATTCCCAGAGCTTTGGGAGTACAGAATTCATCGTATTCCCAGAGCTCTCTGAGAACAGAATTCATTGTATTCCTAGAGCTTTGGGAGCACAGAATTCATTGTATTCCAAGAGCTTTGGGAATACAGACTTCATCGTATTCCCAGAGCTTTTTGTGAGTACAGAATTCACTGTATTCCCAGGGCTTTGGGAGAACAGAATTAATTGTATTACCACAGCTTTCAGAATACAGAATTCATCGTATTCCCAGAACTTTCGGAGCACAGAATCTCATTATTTGCAATCTTTGCGACCTCAATGTCCGAGAAGATGCCTCCAGGTCTTCGAGAAAGTTAAACGAAGGGCCTGATCCCGGGCGGTGGCGAATGCTCCTTGATTTCTCGCACGGCCGATCGGAAAAAGGCAGGGAAACTAGATTTCATTCTCCTCGGGGGGCGGCGGTAACGACGGTTCGAACGGAGGAGTAATAACGTCGATAAGAGGCGGCCCATTGAAACTCCGACGAGACTTCTCGAGGATCGCGTTCCATTGAAAAATTGCAATTTCAGGGCTGACCAGGAGACGGACGACCGGCCGGGCCGAGAGCTAGCGGGCCGGATTTAA